AGTTAAAAATTGACAAAATCACCATCAGTCAAATGCAAAAAGCCGCACTGCTTGGATCTGCACGCATATTACTAAAATACCTTACGACCTCCTAGGCCCCTGGGTGGGGCCCGTCTAGTAACCAATGCCAAATCTGGCGAAACAACTGGCCGCTGTGATACAATTGTATAATAATAATAATAATAATCACTGGATCCTCAGTGATTAATAAAGCATCTGAATCAATCAAAAACCTTTTCTTGTAGATCCCCATTCACATAATAACTTTATTAGCCAAGTGGTGATTTAGATAAACTATAGTAACTAACTGGTTCTTAAATCCTATTTTAAAAATTATTGAAGAAGATGGAAGATTGAAGAACAGGGAACACTGTGTTCTGCACAGCAATCAGTGAGAAGTCCTCGCAGTTATTAAAGTTTTGAAATACTGGACCATGGGTTATTAGCAAAATAATTCTTTCTTCCCAGTGTTTTAAAATCTGTTAGTAGATTTTATGGTTGGTACACATTGAGAAGCTCATAGAGTAGAGTGGAAGATCAATTATGCTGGATATTGGAGAGTCTATTGAATTGGATTACAGCCAGATTTAGTGATCCTTATTACTTTTTCTGACGTAAATGAGAATTAAAGTAGTTCTAATTCATTTTCCATGGGTCAATTTGAAGCATAATAATATCTAATTCTAACTTTCTGACAATACATGGCGTGGGATCAGGTTACCTTTTTCCAAGAGTATCTTCTTGTCAATCTTGAGCCTGAAGAATAGGCATGCTGCAGATCCCATCAGGCAAAGAGCTTCCTGCCAGAGACTGGAAGATGGACTTTTTCCACAATGACCCCTGCTCTACTAAGTACCCTCCCTTTGGAGAGCAGAATGACCCCAACCTTATTAGTCTTTTGTAAGGCCCTAAAAATCTGGCTGTGTTTCCAAGCCTGGGGTGCTGAAATGTGTCAAGGGCCCTGTTTCCTGGCTGTATTGCTAACTGGTCAAGTATCTTGGCTGATATATTTTGAATATTTTTGATCAATTTTATTTGTTTTAGAATGTTTTAATGTCTTAATTGTGTATTTTTTAAAGCCACCCAGAATCATAGACTGAGAAGGATGGCTACAGAAGTTGAATATCAATTTACTTCATATAAAATAGATGGATGCAAAACTTTTGATTAAGAACTACACAGGATCTGTGTGTTATATTTTGTGATATTCTAGGAGTTTGAATACAACACAAATGAAACTGAATCATATTTTGTTTTAATTAGATCCTAATAAAGATAGAATGTAATTGATATTTTTACTCCCATATAGCTATCCTTGAGTGGGATTGGGGTGCGAGGAGGCTTTAAGGAGGTCCATACAATCCTAACGGTATAGAATCCCAATACAGTTTACAAAGAAATAGCCTTCACTGATTTCTGTGTCAAATGTTGTCTCCTGTGATAAGAGTGACCATGTCATGGTGCTCCTCTCTAGTAACATTCAGATTGGATTCCAGGAGATGCTGTTAATTCAGAGGCTTTCAATACATGACAATTTTGTCTATGTAAAACAAGGCTACTATAGACCTTAAAGTACAGGCTTCTTCTTTACTCCCACCCAGTGCAACATTCTATATTTTAACATCCTCAATACATTTGAAGGAGTGCTGCTTCTTGCATTTATTAAATCTTCATAAGAGAACTTTCTTCATGTACAATCCAGTAGGAAAAATCACTATTAATTTACCAAAGAAAGGCTTTTCTATATGACATTTCTCATTATTGTCACAAACATACTGTAATGATTGAATTGAATAAATTGAATTACTTTGAATAGTTTTTATATTACTACTATTGTTTGATTAAAAAGTATTTGTCTTTTTATAATATATGTGTTACTCTGGAATCCCTTCTGTATGGAGATTGATTTAGCACGAACGTATATATATCAAACGTTTGCCCAAAACCCTCCCCCTAGTTATACCAACCCAATGTCCAATCTCCAGCTCCCAAAGATGTCATGTGGGGTGCATCTTCAGGTGGCTTCATTCAGTTGGTATGCAGAGACAGTTGACTGTGGCCAGGTCCAAACACAAGCCATCAGCATGTGCAGAAGATTGTGAGAACAAAGCTCCCTAACAATATCTCCTCCGGTACCTAGTAATTCCCTTCCCAAATACTATTAGCCCCCACCCTCCACGTTACTATGGCAACCGATAGCAAGCAAGCAAAGTAGAGGCTGACAGGTTGTTTAAAATAAAAGAATCAACAGAAATCTATTTTGACTACAATCCTGTATTTTATTTAAATATATATAAATAATTATATTTTAAATAATTAATACCTTTTCTTTGTAGATCAGCAGACCTTGGATGATGTAGAGAAGTCTGTCAATGATGATATGAAGCGTATCATTCCTTGGCTTCAGCAGCTCAAGTTAGTAAAAACAATTCCAGGAAATGCACTTCTTTGTCATTATAAAAACAATTTCACTTTTAGAATAATTTTCTGATTCCTGCTTTGGCTGCCTTTTAGTAATTACAACAGGGAAGCTTTATTGTTTATTTGAAAGGACTGGATATATAGCTCCTAACATGTTATACGGCATAGATTTTTATTAGCAAAAATCAAGAAAGGTCACTTTTCTTTTGTTTAATATAATCTTGATTGGTCAACATGAATTGTGGTTAAAACCTTTTTTTATTCCTGAACACTATTGGAATCATTTAAAATATTGTCATACATGTGTATCTGAAACACAAACCTCTTGAATGGAGTATTAGTAATGCACATTCATTTGCCAGTTTCAAATTGCTAATCTAGTAATTACTAGTGTAGTAATAATTCTGGTTATGAATCAAAACTCGCTAAGAAACAAAAGCAGAGAATAAATAAACTGATCTCACAGTGGAAAAGAGAATACAAATTTTCATCACAACCAGAAACAAGTTTGGTAGCTTTTCACCCTGTATAAGGTTACAGGCAAATTATCTTATTCCCACAACCCTTTATTTATCTATAAACAAATTGATAAGACTTTTCAATCCTGTTGTCAGCAAAAAGTTCATAAAGGATTGCCAGAACTTTACAAAAACATTTTTATTTTAATCTTGATCAAATAAACCAACTTCATATTCCTTCCTTTTACTTCTGAAAATCTTAATCTTTAATTCATTCAAATATTATTGTAGGATTTGATTCATTACTAGGGTTTTTTGAACTCTTTTGTAAATTTAGTAAAAAGACATTATCCAGGTCATTATCTTGGTATCCCTTTAATTTTTAAAACCTCAGTTAGCTTCTTTTTGAATATCCAGTAAAAATTCTTTATTCAGATCATTATCTTGACCATCCACTTTTATTTGCACTTTAAATGCCTTCTCTATCTTTTAATCCACACTTTTAAAAATCCATTATTTCTGATTTTACAGTTTCACATCTGTTATCTCTTCATTAGCATCTTTGGACAGAGTTTGTCCATACAAGCAATCATCATTACTGATATTGTTGATATTGTGGTTACTAATTTCTGGTCTCATTTTTTGAAGATCTTTCACATTTCAAATATTACAGCATATTGTATCATTTTATAAATTCCAATACTAATAAAAAACACTTTTCTTTTTTCTTTCTTTTGTTTCCTCTAGTATCCAATTGAAATAGCAAAGTGTCTAATCTTTATTATGACCTACCTACAAAAAATAATTCTGGTTCCTACTATATTTTATATAGTTAGTTACAAAATCCAAGAAGGTTTCTTTCAATATTCCAAATTTGTCTCGCCCTTAATTTGTTTATAACTTTCTTAGTTCAAGTTTATTTATTTATTCTGCCATTTATTTTAAATTCTTTTAAGTTCTTAAACTTACAGTCAGTTTTTCTTTTGTTCAGAAATAAAGGTAGATACACCAGATCAGAATTGCTGTTTCAAAGACTATAGTAGCTTTAAGATACTTAGATAAGTAATTTCTGAAGGTGATCAGAAAGCAAGGTTAGTGAGCCAACGTCGCGAGGACACATCGCATGGACCCGACAGTCCGGGTCCGTCAATGAAACTTTAGTCTTTGGACAGTCCGGTAGGACCTAAACCGTCCCGAAGAGACGGTGATAGGGAAGCCAAAGCCTTGCTGGTCACAGGGACATCGCAAAGTCCCTGTTTGACCCAAGGGTACAAACAGGCAGCCCCCAGGCTGGCATAGTCGGAGACGGCTCCTGAAGGAAGAGACGAAGCGAAAGCATTCCATCTGGTGAGGGTTTTTTTTTTCTTTTTTCTACTTTCAGAAGATCTGTGTTAAGAAACTTTTTTTTCTTAAAAAAATAATAATAACTAGTCCTCAAAGTAAGAATAGAGCGCCGAATTTGACACTTATTGGACTGCTATTAGAAGATTTCCTGCTCTAGTTAGTAACAATGTTTTGTGGATTGAAGTAATTGCAACATTTCCTGTCTCCCTGCTTGTAGTCTATGGACTGATCTTTTTTTTCTATTTTTTCCTTTTTAGTAGCCTAATTATTATTTTTTTGTTTGCTAAATTAAACTTCT